GTTACTTCCTGCGTTAAGACATTCCGTCCAAACCTAACCTAACTTAACCTAACCTAACCTAACCTAACCTGACCTAACCTAACCTAACCCACGGGTCAAATTTTCATTACATCTTCCATCCACGGGGCTTTGCAGCCGTGGATGCAATGACAGCTAACAACGCAGGCAGTGACGGGATTATAAGGGTCACTCAAGAATTCGGAGGTGGCGGGACAGATTTGGGTTCGGAGATGGCGGAACGCGGAGATAGAGGGAGCACACGGATCGGATCATGGGAACGGGCCTTTGTTTTATGGGGGGATTACGGAGAAAATTGTAAGTAAAAAATTCCCATGTTATTCTTATTGAAAATAAGTAAACAGTTGTAGTTTGCTTGTTTATGGATATATTTGGATCAAACCTCTCATATCTATAAATTTTATATTAAGCTATTGAACTTTTATTAAAAACACACTTTATAACCCTCCCTGTAGGCAGCAAAACCTAGATATTCGTTAAACCTAATTATATTTTAATAGATTTAATTGAAAATCACATCAGGCAAATGGAAATTCGCTTAGTCTGCAGGTTTGCTGTAGCGGGGGTATATTAATTTGTTTGTTTGATATATTAACGGACATCTCTAATTTTATAACTTTTATGACTTATGGTTCAGCTTTTACAAATTACAATACTAATAAATTATACTAGCGAGCTTAAGGCCTACAATGGTTTTTAATGACCCGAGACCACAGGGTAGTGAACAGAATGTTGCTCAATTTGCACCAATACGTGAGCATGGTAAGAAGTTATTATGGAAAATCTGTGAAGGAATTAGTCCAATATCGCACAAAAACTGTGTTACCTTCTAATATCCAGTAGTGCATGCGATGGGTCGTTGTCGCGTTTAACATTATCTGTCTTCCAAATTCAATAACAATCATCTATAATATTAAAACGAAACAGGGTTTTTTTTATTTCACGATTCTGAATCAACCACTAGACGGATTTTCATGATTTTTGTGTTGAAAGAAAGATAATTTTGAGAACTAGGGAATGTCGAAGCCATAATTTGAGTTTAGGGTCCCAGTTATTTAGAAATTAAGTTTTAATTTTTGAAAAGTCTAGCAGCCGACGCTAAGATTCTAAACTAGCTTTTGGTGTAATAAATTTGTTTAACATAACAGCTGTAAACATTCAGCGTTTGTAACACAAATTCAGCATTTGGGTTGACTTATTTATACTATGTGTAATGCTAATCATTGATACGTTCAATCCTTTGATAAGAGGATGACAGATTACTTAAATATACATAGGTAAAATACTAGGATGTTCAAAGGATTTTTTAAATAAATCTTTGCAATCTTCGGTTTGTTTTAGTGCAACATAATTTTCTTTTAACTAACAGCTGGTTAAATATAAAAATGCTCTGTAGAACTATGAGGTTATTTTATTTACTCTGATTTGTCATTGATTTTTAGGAAATAAGTAAGATTAGTAGACCACCGAGAAAAGTAACACCATCGATGTATACAAGTCGAGGTGTGTGTACACGAGTCTTAAAAAAAAGGATATGCAAATTATTATACTGCTCAACTTTTTTAGGAAAGGGTAGGAAAATCCATTTTTTACACGTTTTAATTCATCTTGGTTTGTTTACAATCAATGTTTTTGAATGATTAAACTTTGTTTGGATTAGACCCGGAAATATTGATGTCATAAAGAAGGAGATCAAGAATCCTTAGGAATACAATTTTAAAGTACCACCATAACCCAGACGGTTTTTATCCAAAGATATACAGATATAAATGACATAGATTGAGCACAACGTCATCATTGACCTAGGATACTGCAATTAGACTAACCATCCTATTATGAAATCTAAAAAGTTGTTTGGCGTGTGTTTAGTTGTGGTTACGTTTGGAGGCGCTGAATATTTTATAGTTTAAATAAATGAATATGGGGAATTACGGTTTTCATAGATTCAATGAGGGTGGTTTAATTATTAAGGATATTAGAACTGATAACGGAATGGATAATAAACATAGACAATTAATTACGTCACTAGCTTTACTAGCGTGTTTTACGTTTTAAATTCCTTCTACATGTGACCAGTTCTTTTGATCAAATGAATATTATTTTATTTTTGACTCAGCTGTTTACCAAAACAAACTATATGTTGTTGTATTTACTTTTCTTTGTTTACACTTATTTATTTAGCAATTGATGTAGTGAAATTGATATAAAGGATATGTGTGGACGATTCGTTTAATGATGTCGTTATAATTATGTGTACTGTGAATTTTATTGAATGTTTTAGTTTTATTTTAGGGAGTTTCTATTCAGACCTACCGGAAATTGTGTATAGTACGAGTAATTGTATTGGGCTGCACTTTACTTGACGTCCTACACTCATTCGATTGTTTTTCGATTCGATATTTTCATTCGATTGTTTCATTCGATATATCGATCGGTTAGTTAGGTTAGGTTAACCTTACCTAACTAACCAAACGATATATCGAATGAAGCAATCGATTAATCAATATATCGATCGATATTTTCATTCGAATGAGTGTAGGACGTCAAGTAAAGTGCAGCCATTGTATTGTGTTGATATTGATTATGGAAGAGGCAGATATGCGATGGAATTGGAAGGTGATATATCGTTGACTAGGCCTATACACTTTCTCAATTGATAATTACTCTTTCTACTGTAGGCTGCTATAGAATTTGTCTTTATACGTGTAAGCTAGCTGTTCTGATTTATACACAGTTTTAACTGACTACTCCCGTACGTAGGACGGGCTAACACCTCGTACCATGTTAAAATCAAGCCACGACCTACACACAGTACAAAAGGAAAAAATGCAAATGATGATTACTGATCAAATAATGCAGAAAAAGTCTTAAGTTGACTTTTAATCACAATTTGGAAACGACCACTGATTGATACTGATGGGTACAGTATTTTACGGATTTTAATAACGTCGTTTTTGTATGAGCTAGCTCCCTATGGAATAAGACATATTTAAATTGAATATCACATGGCCGATATAATCGAGTTTTGGCAATGAACAACATAAAGATTTCGGGTGACTATTTTAATAATTCTAATAATTTATTCTAATCTTTTTAAGCAGAAATATATGTGTAATAAAGGCATGGTATGTGTCAAAACTGATTAAAAATATATTGCTAATTCAGTGGTAATAACGTGTCATCGGCTGGACCGGGGGCGTTGCCGCAGGGAATTGCGTGTGGAGGTTAAGCCGTCGGCTGGACCGGGGGGTTGCTACAGGAATTACGTTTGAGGGTAAGCCTTCGGCTGGACCGGGGGGAGTTGCCACAACGACTCTCTCCCACTCCACTCAGATAGAGAGAGGGGTGGTCGGCCGTGACGTCACAGTTTGGAAGTCTGTGTCGTCGGGAGTCTGCGTCATCGGGAGCACGTGGCGCGTTCCCCTATCTTTCATAAGAACTGTACTGCACGAGTGCACGGTGAACGTGGAATTAAGTATAGGATGGTGATGGTCTGGCTATTAATACGTGGAAGAGAGCAGATAAACCCACTTATAAAAATGTATTCCAAGGAGCAAGACGACCCCTTGGAGGACCAAGCAATGAAAAGACTTCTCCAGACTGAGGTCAAGATTACAAGAGGCAAGGGATAGAAGAGAATGGGAGGTCAAATTCCTTTTAGGGTTTCAGTGGCCACCGAGGCAAAATAAGGCACTATGTAAGTGATAGTATGCAATGGAAGGTGGTGTAGCTACTGTAAATAAAACCAGTAACCAGTGTGTGTGAATCAAACACAATCACGGAAGTCACTGTTTTATCGTACAATTATCGGATTTAAAATGCATATCGCATAGGCCTATCTATAATCGGATGAAATAAATAGGTGGTCACGTGATGTTTGTTTACTAGATGATTGTTTCTATTAAAACTGCCAGAATGTTTCTTTATGCGTGTAAACTAACTGTTCTGAATTATATTCAGTTTTGATCGACTAGGCCTACTTGATTCCCGTACTATAGGACGGACCAACAGCTAGTTATCAGATTTAAATTTATATGCATATCATATAGGCCTCTGGCCTATAATTGAATGAAATTAACAGAGGGGCACGTGGCATTTTTTTACAAGATGATTTTGCCCATTTAACTGGCAGAATTTGTCTTAATGCGTGTAAACTAGCTGTTCTGAATTATTATATTTAGTTTTAGTTGTCTACTCGATTACCGTACTTAGAACGGGCCAACAGATCGTTTATTTTAATAATTAAGACAAAAGGTTAATTTTCACCACACTATGATGTTTTTGGCTGTATTACATACGTTAATTGGTGGCTGAAAGTTACGTTTTGCTGGCCATGCCAGCTGTCATCGTAATTTGGGGACCGAGCAGGTTTTTACAGACCGGGGCCGCAAAATCAGCTGTCCGCTTACTTACTTACAACATGAATGCATTTTAAATACACATTCAAAATCCATAGCATTGCAATCGAATTGTGTTATTGTCACCGTTGCCTAGCAACTATTTTTTTTTTTTGCTGATTCCTCAAATTATTTCTTCACATAACCTCTTCTTCACATAGTGGTGAATAGGTGGTAATAGGGTATAGTGTGGTGAAAAATAGCGTTCGTACCACGGACCGAAATGGTTTTGCAGCTCTCGATCGATTTAAGTTCTCGACTTCGTCTCGAACTTAAAAAGTATCTCGAGCCGGTAAACCCTCATTTTCGGCCCTAGGTATGAAATATACTATTTCGTCATCCTGTCATCAATTTGGATGTTATTGGATTATGTCTACTCAAAAACAGGTGAGGTGAAAATCAGTTCGTCAAAGGACTTGTACATGTCATTGATCAGAAATAGTTCCGCGTGGTTCAATTCAATCAGCGACCACAGAATGTAATGGTTCAATTCAGTAACGAGCGGCAAGTATGCCTAGGTAGTGGCGCTGTCTCGCGAGTGTCGGGCGAACTGGCAGGCAGGAGGTGGGTCTGGGATAAGAAAATCAATGGAACGCGTTGGTTTACAACATAGTGCGGGAAACATCAAAATTATCATATAACTTAAATAAAATAATATCTTCGACATGAAGATTTAACTTTCCTCTCATTTTGAAATCGACAATTCAATAATCCCTTAGCAAAGTCCTGAATGACAAAAATGTCACATTTACCACGGGTTAACCTGGACGAGCCTCGGTGGGATCAAAGCACGTACATAGGAAGAGTAAAGTATTTTTTTAGTGTTGCCAATCCACTAAATATTTTTGTATCCTCTCAAACTTTGGACGAAGCAAGGACAATTGTTTTAAAATACAAGTAAGTATGTTTACTTGTACTTTGTATAGTATACGCATTTTGCTTATTTTACGAAAATAAGTTATTTACTTTTAATCACACCCTTTGCAAACATAAAACTCATTAAAATTAGATCCTAAATTAATTGTATAAATTTATTTTAAATGTTTACAATTCCTAACTGCAATATCCAAAAGAAGTAGGCCTACAGTATATTCATGATAGCATACGCTCAATACAATAAATAGGACCTTGCATAATCTATCGGATGGTTTGAAACATAAAAGGTACATTATTTGTATTAAACAAACTCAGCATGCCTATATAATTGTGCTTGAAGTACACTAAAATACTAAAGGTTAAGTCTTTATCCGAGGTAAAGTAATGCATTTTGTTGTTAAATCGTTTTAAAACAAGTGAACTGCAAAGAAACATACATATTTAGATAAACACCCCGCATAAGCATTTTAAACGTTGTATACTTAAATTGTAGATTTACTAGGAATATAATTAGTTTACCCACCGTTTTACGTATTTTAATTGAACCCACCGTTTTACGTATTTTAATTGAAACTGTAGTAAAAACGTTCAAAAATTAAACTAAGTTAAAGCTAAATTGTAGGCTTATCATCACAGCTCAATCGGACATCCATTATATTCAATCGGCAAGATCGGCATACACATGTTAGCAAACTCCATATAGGGAAGTCGCTATTACCGTAGGTGGCACGGTAAAGACCATCGATGTAGGGTAAGACCTAGACATGGGACCACTGTAAGTTTTCATTTTGATATCTTTAGAAGCCAAAAAAACTATTAGTTCATATATATGAAATGACAGTGTTGTATGTACATTGCGTAGAATCGTGAAGTTTTTGGTATTTTACGTTTCATAGCCTAAGAAAGCCTAAACAAGTCTTATTTCAATTTCTGTCTGTTTGTTTGTCTGTCTGTCTGTGTCACTGTGTCTGTAACGCCAAAATGCCAATTTACGCGGCCTACATCGAGAAAACTAGAGTACCTATCCATCAAGATTAAAATTATTTTCCAGTACTCACTGGATTGGTGAGGGTGTCTTTGGCTATTAAGGTATGGCCTCACTACATTGGAAGAAAATAATGAAACTTCAAAAACCCAATTTTGTGAGATTTCTTTTAAGCTTTCTCCCAATGTTTTCTAGATACGTCATATTTATGAAATACTAGCTTACCCGTCGCGCGTTACTAGGATTTTAAGGAAGTTAACCATTCCATTTTTGGTTATTTTTTTAATACATAATTATTATTTATATCTAATTAAATAGTAAAACGTAATTTCGCTTCAAAACATTTAATCAAGTGCTTTTTTGGAAACAGTATTTTTTGTTTTTCCGTTTGATGCATAAACAGAAAGATTGTTTGTTTTTCCAACGTGAGAGCAGGTCACATAAAGTTGTCCATGTGTGAATCATGAATTTGTTAAGTCTAGTTCACACACTTGCAGTGATTGCCCTAGAGATTTGTATAGTTATTGCAAATGCAAAACGCACAGGAAACTGTACCTACTCGTTTAAATTCTGTAGGGATCGTAGGAATATGTGGCAAGAGAAATTCTTCTCCCTTAAATTTTCCGTTTAAAATTGTCGCATCTATTACTAACATTGGTCATCTGTTTCTTCACTATTATGTCGTGTACCATAACATAATCGTGGATGGTTGATATTAGGTCTTAAATTAAAGGTATGCACACAGAGATTTGCAATCTAGCATCTATATTCATGTAGCCTATTTGTTGTTTTGGTATCTGTAATAGGCCCTATTCATAATCCTCAACCACATTGTTACGCATTTTGATTATTAGTAATTTAATTAATAATACAGTACAGAAAATAGGTTTGATGTACATTTTTCTAGTCTATTACCAATTTAAAGAAGTCCCAAAATACGTTACGTCGGTGACAGTACCTGACCGTTGTCAATCCATGTAACATCTGCCTGATCACTACTAGATCATAGCTCGTATTTTGGTGGCGTTGATCCATTTGACAAACCTATGACCTAGCCTAGCAAAATCTATAAACAAGGTGGTTCACGTGAGTTGTCTCAAATTGATTTCAGACAAACCGTTGGTCCTATAATGATGAAATAAAAAATTATGTCCCTCTTAATCGACCCCAAGGAATAACGTAAACATATTTTTAATGTTATTAGAAAAGGCTTAGAAACACTTCAGCCCAGTAACATTTCGGCCAAACTCAAATTTCTTAGAGACACAGTAACACTTCGTCCCACTCGCTTTTACAGTTGATTAAAAACATTTCGGCCAGACGAAAAATCTTCAAGGGCTGGGAACGCAGTTCAGGTAGTAAGCGTATACTTACCAGCCATGGCCTGAATACTTTGAAACCTACTAGTAACCTAAATGTGGTGCCTAAAAGTTGTATTATTTTGTAAATTGTGTATCCTTTGATATAAATTAATACACCTGACCTAACCCAACCCAGCCTTGCCTAACCTAACCTAACGCAGTTTGTGGTGAGGTAATTTTGGATATAATGCATTTTGTTAGTTTACTATCCTCCGAAATAGTTAGTGAAAACCTGTCAAATTTTTTGGGACAAGTGTTACTAATGAACTGGTAGAGAGCTGGACCACAGGCCACGCCTGAGGATTTCGGGCCGAAGTGTTACTTGAGCAGAAGTGTTAAGACACGTTTTGAAAACAGGGTGTTAAAAAACTGGAGAGCCTCCAGTTCAAATCTCTGAAATACCAAATATAAAACATATATGTATGATATTGTACATAAGTTCAAGCCCTATTAAAAAGAACTAGAGGACCTATGCTCTGAATAAATATAATATCCGAGAAATAATCAAATTTATGATTTTTGATTGAGTAATGCAGTATCTTGAGCTTAACTTATTTAAAATATCAATAGCTCAAACTAAAGCCTAAAAAACAAAACAATACTGGAGCTATTGATTTGTAATCATAGAAAACCCTTATGAAAAATTATTTTTATGTTGGTTGTTCACCCTGCGTTTGCTTGAAACTCGTCCGATTTGAATAACGAATAGCTTTTAAAAAAGAAATCCGGTATTTCACTAAAGGTTCTTAGACCAAAATCTATAGGATTATATAATTACTAGTGGCTTGTAGGGACATAAGTCCCTAAAAATCACAAATTTAAAACAAATAATTGTAATATTTAAACAAACTCAGAATCAAATTATTCATGTGTCAGGATGGATATCCCAGTACAACATATCTTTTTTTGTAAAAAATAGTTTGTTGTTTGTCTTTGTTTGCTTTTGTTGATGTTATTTTCAATAAATAATTTGAATTACTTCAGAGGTTTAACCTTTGACTATTAATACTTCTGTATCCAATAGTCAATGGTTTAACTCTGCTAAAGACAGCAAAAATGTTTGTCAATAAATATTGGCTTATAATGGTAGGTTTGATCTTTTGGTTAATGATGATAGAAAGGCTTCTTAGGTTGAAATATTTGAAATTGTCTTCGTAAAATATGAAGGGCAAATAAAGGTGTTGAGATAAGCTAAATTCTTGGTAAAAACCGATAAATTAGCACCCCGACCCAGTCATTATTTTTAATTTCATGCTCCTGTTGTAAAGGCTTAACAAAATTAGTGTAAAGTATAGGCATCCCATTGACAAAACCTAATGCCAAATTTGTTTTTGATGAACATAAAAAACTACCATTAGCCTAGTGTGAGATTATGTGGTGGCAATTCCTTATGAAGGTGCGATTGACTTCACATATTCTATCAAAATATGGTCTAATCAACGCTGATTCCTAACTATTTTGCAACTGGTTAGGGTTCCATTACCCAGTTATCGAAACCAATCACGAATTTACTTTTTCATCAGCATCTTCTTCATGCATATTTTTGGTAAGTTTTAAGAAACGGAAACTACTTCTAGGTTTTACTGTTATATATGGATAGTCCCTTTACTACCGTGCATGCTAGGCTATTATTATAACATTTTTTTTCTTGGAGCAACAGTCAGTACCTCGTTAAAATGTCCTCTAAAACATATGTGTTCCGCCCATTGGAATTTTTTAAATGAACTAACTTAAAGGAACAACTTAATGAACAAAAATATTGCCTGTACGAACGTAGTTCATCTTTATTTCCAGGTTGTTTTCTAAGAGTGGCCGTTGAGGTTATTCCATTTCATACAAAATATTGATTAAACACTACAATAATCTCAAATTAAAAATGTTAAGAAATTTTGTCGACGCTATTATGCAGTTATAACGACTGTCAAAAATAAAGATATTTGATTTATAAAAAAATGTGTAGCATAAATCTTTAACATATCTTTTGAAATCAAAACAAAGCAGAAGATTTCTATTTTTATCTTGAATAGTTTATTACTTAGTCAATGTGGTTATTTCATGTTAAACATTCCTTCAACACTGCAATAACCTTCAAATTAAAAGAAAAAATTCCTATGGTTTTAGATAGTATACAGTATATTGCAGAATTGACTGGCAAATGAATAATCCAGAAATTTCATATTGCTTACTGGCTTTATGATCAATCATGATCAGCTGTATTGAAGTAAACAGAAATCAGCAGTAAATGACTTCTAATGCTATTCTTATGGAGAACATTTTAAGTTATATCTAATTTTGTATAAAAATTTGGGGAATTTCACTATTTTTCTCGCCGTCACGGGGTCGAGACCTTTAATTTGAGCCCTCTCCCGTCGTTATACGACTTTCCAGTTGCCCACAATTTTGACGCAATGAATCGGCTTACGTAATTAATATATATATAGATAGATAGAAGATAACTGGTGAAATACATCTTAAATTGAAGTAATCTTAAATTAAAATACCCCCGCCACAGCAAACCTGCAGACTAAGCGAATTTCCATTTACCTGGCTGGATTTCTTCTAAAATATACCCTGAAAATTGTCAGATTTATTTCCTTTTTAAATAACATTAATTTTAATGAGTAATGAGTGAATTGTTAGGTTTGCTGCTACAGGGAAGGTATTGAGGTGTATTT